TCGATTATTAGCGATACTTAGATAGCATTATTAGTATTGGACATATGTCCAATGCCAACACTGATTTACTATATTTAAAATGTACTATATTCAATATTTGTTTCATATAGTCTTTCTTGTTTGATATTCGATAAGGTATTTTTACATAGTCCTTATGAAGTGTTTTATAAGTTTCAGTGGTCATACTATTGATTGACCTATATTTTCTAATTGCAGATACTATATGATAGCACCAAGAGTGAAGCTTTGAAAGCTGGAGACTACTTGAATTGTATTTTGAAAAAATTTTAACAAACTCTTTGGCCAGTCCAAAATGAAGGTCTGTAAAATTAATTGATATTAATCATTAATAATCAAACCATTTTAAAAAGCTAAATATTTAGGATCTTTGCTATAAAACTCACTCTTCAGGACTAGGTAATTTATAGTCCCGAAGGGTGAGGTTGTTAGCAAAGATTCAATTTGTTTTATACCTGTAATTTATTTAAAGAATCGTCAGTAAATGATTCTTTTCGTGATGCAATATACATCTGAAGAAATTTGTAATATATATGGCATAACCGTTCATTACTAATTTCTGGCATCCTATAATCTTTATATAGGTTGTCAAGTGTAAAAATTACTATTTTCATTAAATTTCTGAATTCATCTGCTGTTATGTGTGTCATATCAAATATATTTTTCAATATTTTGAGGCCCTTATGTTTGAGAATTAGCATTAATCGTTGTTTAAAGATTTGCATCACTTGTCTTTCACACTAATCATGTAGAAGATCTTTAGTATAGTCTAGTATATATTTAAAAAGACTAAGATTTAAGGTATGCATTCGATTAGAAACGATAGCCTAATATATATTAAAATTGCTTAAAAATAAAAAAAAAGATAAATGCATTTATTATATAGAGTGTCTTCAATTAAAAGGTCCCATTTTTACATTTATCTCATTTCGAGATAATTGAATTTAAATATTTGTTTTGATTTTTGAACTGATCCGGGATTAATCGAATTTTACAATTTTGATTGGTTAACGGTAACAGGTAATTATTGGGTAATTACGTGATATGCTTGGCCTTAGGCAGCCTTGTGTAATCTTTCTTTTACATTATCTCTATTTTTTATTAAGAAAATTGACTTTTATTTATAATTGAAAAATGTCAATCATGTCAAAGTTTATATGAATCTAACAAAAACTCAATTTTTGAAAAATTGTAAAAATGAGCCTTTTTAATTGAAGACACCCCATATTACTTATTTAATAAACCTAATTAACTTTAATTTATACCTTATTTTTCAGAATGCATTTGGTTCAGGATGAATTGAATAATAATTTTCTTCGCCATCCTCTATTACTTGTTTTATACTATTATAGATTCTTGGCAACATATTAGTCAAGTCACTATTATTCAAGTTATTCCTTGATGCTAAACACGAATAACAAGGCCTTCTTGATACAGATAGCTGATAAACGTTAGCCAACATGCTGGCCTCAAGCAAGTCAGCTAATAACATAAAAATTCATGAGATAAATATTATTATGTTGCCACGAATGACAAAATTAAGCTCTAGATTATTAATAATAGGCTTAATTAAATTCTTAAGCATTCATAAAAAAATTTTCTTTTTAATTTTTGAAATTCTTTGGATTTTTTCATTGTGGAATTTTTAGCCTTTAAGATAGGTAAGTACTCAATTAAAGCTTTAGATTCTGGTTTGTTTCGCTGTGAGTTGAGAATGTTACTTAGAGTTTGAACCCGGTTTTATTTTTCATATGTTAAAACTAATTAAAACCAATTTATAATATGAAAAACAAAACTGATTTTAAACTCTAATTGTTATCTAGGAATAAAAATATAGGGTGCTCAGAAGATTTTGCTATATGGTCTAGAGTAGTTGTATCAGAATAAAGAATTATTTATAGTAATTGTTGACCAAGAAGTAATGATGATTCTTCTTGTTCTCATCAGAGGCAATTATATTGCTCTTCAAAGATGCAGCACTTCACATTATTTCTTATCTCTCTTTTATTTTCAAAGTTAAGTACCAATTGCTGATTTATATAGGGTGTGGCGACTTAGTGAAGTGGTGAAGTTGTCATACCCCAAGTGGCAAGAACAGAGTTCGAATCCTACCGGCGACAAAAATTCAAATTCTTAGTACAGTGTTACAGCAACTGTGAGTGTAAGGGCAGATCGACATCTGTAACTAGGTCACACCAGCTCGTACTGAGAGACTATGGAACAATAGTGTAATGTACGAGTTATACGAAACCCAAGTAAAGCAGTCGTGTAAATCTGAGGTTGGCGCACATAGAAGCCCACTTGCCAAGACCTGAGTAGAGAGATAGCACAGATCTTTGACGGTACTATATAAAGGATTATCATTTAGAAACCGGAGAACCGAACGGGACCGAAGTGTTTGGTAAGGCACTTCACCAACCAGGCCACCAGAGAGTACTGAAGGAAAAGGACCCAACCGTGGGGACCAGGACAGGTCACAGCTCTTTCGGGCTATCTGGATTGGAAGTTTGGAGCGATGGGTGTACGTCGGATAGTCTGTATAGTGGGTGTTGAGGTCTGGGTGAACTCTATAAGGACGTAGTAGGTAATGGTAGTGGCTTCAGCTTGCAAGTACTTGGTCTCAGCCTAGGTATAAGTTACCGGAGTAGACTAGGTAATATGGTATAGTGGGACCGGACTGCTCTAGCAGGTGATGCACTCGAGGATGAATCGGTTAACCATGCTAGTAGTCCTATAGGTGGCATACGATGATCTTGAAACTTGGACTGACTTATATATTGTATATTCCGGATGAGATTAGATGAATTGGCAGAAAAACTCGGATCAGAGGGTTTAATTGGGTAACTCAAGTAATAATGGGTTATAGATACAGCATCTAGTGTAGAACCTAGTAATAGGTAGATACTTAATTAGGCATTCAAAAGGCGCAGATATGGCTAGAATGTATCCTCGTCAGAATGTACTTGTCTGGAGTCCCTTGAAAAAAGGACATTACATGATTCTATAAAGTCTAATAAAGTGGGAAGCCAAAGAGGCTAGCTAACCTTGACTATAATAAAAAAAAAAAAACCAATTGCTGATTTATACTATTGATCATTAATAAAAACTTTATTGTTTTTATTAATGATCGATAGTATAACATATACTTAACACCTTGATATGTTATAATAGGAATTTCTTTGGACATCATATAAGGGATTGTTAAATTATCCAGAAATTCCTTTCTAATCTTTGCTGTTGAAGGGAGAGACGAAACATCTAAGTTTGAATGCTTATTAAAAAATTTTATAAAAGCATTACCAATTGAATTAGACAGTGATATTTACTGACTATTTTCATAAATTCATGATATACATTGTTGGGCTAGTCAACTTTGTATGAATGATGCAGGTCATTAAAAGCATCATCGAGTGAAGCTTCTTTATAGTCTTCTGGATCAATATTGATAGATTTTATAAAAAGATCAGAATCTGCTAAAAAATGCTCTGTTTTTATATCGGAATAAAGTAATATATCTTCGTTCTAATACATAATTATTAAACAACATTTTGTAACCAATAATAGCATTTATAATCAACTTACCTCATATGTCATAGAATTTTCATCATAGTTATTTTCTGTTTGTATAGAACCAGATAAAGGTAACTCTGATATAACTTCATCCTTAATTAAATATAATCATTTATTATCATTTTAAAACTTTAATAACAAATCATTACTAATTTACCCCATATATTATAGAAGATTCATCTGAAGAAGAGTTATAACTAGAGCTATATTCTGGAAGATTCTAAATGTTATCATTCAATTGCTCAGCAGGAACAGATTGATTTGTTATGTCGTTAATATAAGGATGACTTTGAGAAATATGATGAGTTAATGCTTAAGGTTTTGAAAAATTATGAATACAATGTGGACATTGCCAATGCATTTTAGAAAAAAATAGAGAACCAAAAAAAAAGAGAAAAAAATGAAAAGACAGAGAAAGAGAAAGAGAAAAACAATATAAAGAATCGAAAGAAAACAAATAAAACTGAAAATAAGCGATATTAAGCGAAGAAAAAGAGAAAAGAGAGAAACAATATAAGGAAGTGAAGGAAAAAATCAAACTGAAAATAAGCGATATTAAGCAAAGAGAAAGAAAAAGAATAGAAACAAAATAAAGAAATGATAAAAAAGGATTTAAACCAAAAATAAGTGATATTAAACGAAGAGAAAGATAAAATGAGAAAATAAAAGAGATATTAGGATCACTAGAATCTGAATTCTGTTTTTCAGATTTAAAAACAACAAATGATAAATAGAAAATAAAAAGAAAATTGAATTAAAGTGATTATCAATTATAAAAGGGTCAAAAAAAGTCACGAAAGAATATCTAAAGGTAATATTCAGAGAGAATTTGATTTGTAACTATATCTATATATTAATTATATTGATTTATATTGATTTATATTGATTTATAACAATTTAACTTTATTTTTCTATCAAAACAATTTTATCGTGAAACTAACTTTGTAAACAACTTGCAACATATTATGCATGATATAATAATATAGGCAAATTGGTGTTATATAAGTGCCGCTAAAAGAATACCTGAGTCACTGGACTTTTAATTGTATTTTGTACCGGACACAATCTATTTAATTTATTAAGAATATGTCTAATACAAAATACAATTAAAAGCCCAGTGACTTAGATATTCTTTTAGCAGCACTCATATAATCTTATTAAGTGTAATATTATTTAGATTTGTGTTAAAATTATGCAATATAGCAAAAGTTCAGCTATGCAATAAATCTCAGAACATCGTCATTATAAGTATAATGACCAAAAGTCAACAGATAAATATCTTTCTTTTATTTATGTTACATTTTTCATCATTAGATTTTAAATTTTATTAATTCTTGCAAAATCATTATAATTATATAAATACAATAGTTTTCTAAGATTTGAAGGTAAGAATATTTTTGAAATTTTGAATAATGGAAAACTTACCTTCTATTACACCTATTCAACATGCTTATTCTCAATCAGTTTCTGATACATCACATAATACCACTGACCCTAAACAACCACCTCAAACTGATTGTTCTCAATTGGTTTCTTCTAATACACCATATAAATTCACCGATCCTCAATCAACGTTTACTAATGCACCATATAAATCTGCTGATCCTCAACCAACATCTAACAATACTAATCCTCAAAAACAATCTAAAAATACTTGTTCTGACGATGATTCAGATTCATCTACAAAAAGTATTTTAAGTATGCAATCTATTTTTTCTAAAATGAGTGAAAGAGGCCGACAACAAACATCTCAATGCTAACAATCTCAACGACAACAATCTTATCAACCTTCTCAAAGACGCTCGCCTCCTCATTTTCGTCATACAACACTAAATAATGATTTAAATCATTTCTTATCGCCACAGTCTTCACTTAATCATAAGCATAAAGAAAGATTACATGATAGAAGATCATCCAACCAAAATGCACCACGTTAGTAATTTTTTCAATATATAAGCCTTTTTTTTTTTTTCTTTAAATACTTGAGTTTTATTTTTTTTTTTATTATTGAGAAATTTTTTTTTGATTTTCGTTAAAAACAAAAAAAAAAGATCATTGACACCACCGCCAAAAGTTCGAACAACTTTATACACAGAATCACCAGTTGTACTTATTATTAAAGCAGCTCAATAAGAATGTTCAAGGAATAGCCGTCAAACTAAAAAGGAAGCGAGAAAAGCATGACGATGAACTCTCCCCTCAAGTGATAAATGTAGTGTTTGTAGTCGATTTTGTGTTAGTCGATTTTATCGACTTAGCCGACTAAGTCAGTCGATTTTTCAAAAAATCAGCTTAGCCGACTTAGTGTATTAATTTATATTAAGAATCATAGTAACCAATCAAATTTTATAAAAAAATAAAATAAAA